ATGTAACAGATAGTTCATACGATTTTTTTACGGCATAAGCCGGTAAACAAGCAGACGGATCACCTGATGGTAAGCAATCGGCGTCGCCAATGGACACCTGGAACACCAGACTCGTTACAAGTGCGTTACCGGCCTTTTGGGGAATTAGGAGTTTGAGGATCGTTGAGGATTCACGCTTCGGCACGAATGGCCGTGAACGGCCCATTCGTGCCGAAGCATGGCTCCCCCACACTTAAAATTACGTTCTTAATTCAAATTTATCTGGTAGATAACGGCTATCCAGATATTGTGAAATAGGCCCTAAGTCTAAAATACGGATTCTAAAAGTAAACCTCAGCGAGGAGAGGTCGAGGTCATTACAATAAGTTCTGTTGTTCCAAGTTTTAAGATTTTAAGTCTTGTACAGAGCATACTCCAATTGTAATAAATCTACTTAAGTTTGCAAGTAGATAAATAGTAATGACACTTATTTACTTGAAGTGTATCCCTACTATACTGAAAACAAATATTCAAATATTACAGAACCTTCGAAAACCTACCAACGCTGCCGCTGTCAGATGCTGAGGCCTCGAAGCACGCGATGAACGACACGAACGCTGAGCAAGGAGTTCAGGGAGATGACCAAGGAGTCGGCTTGATGAGTGAGTACTTCACACATAATTTTGGTTGTTTGGACGAAGCCAGACTTTACAAAAAATAACGCGAATTGTAATAATTGCACTTTGACTAAACTGACCGAGCCGTATTGTGATTTTTGGAGTAAGGCAATGTTTGTTGATATTATCGAATCATTCATCTTCATCATCAACAGCCTATAAATGCCCACTGCTGAGCAAAGCCTCTTCTCACACGGAGAAGGTTTGAGCATTAGTCACCGCGCTTGCTCAATGCGGGTTGGTGATATCAAACTTATAATTAGAAATTATAAGCCTAGGTTTCCTCACAATGTTTTCCTTCACCGTTTGTCAGTGGTGTCTGAAGAATAATCTTAGAAATTATCGAATATTAAATCTTAATTATAGCAAGTAGTTTGATTATGTAATCTCCATAACTCGAATCGTTTCTTGGGACATCTGTAAACTTCAAATTACTACATTTTCAGCCAAGAACCACCAGCGCAATGCTATACTATAACCAATTATCATCAACTTTACAGAGGAACTAGTGATCTGGGAGCCTCCAGAATTCCGCAACAAGTCGTTCATGGCCCACCTGAACGAGATGCCGTGGGCTGAGCCACTGTTAACCGAACAAATTGAGAAGACGCTCTACAAAGGCATGCATATGACCTTCTGTAAGAAGAGGGACGATAGTCTAGGAGTGGTGAGTGTTCTATTTATTTTTGTCGTACCTACTTTCCCGTAATTTTCTTATTAACTTTACACCATTAATTTATATACCCTTATAGTGTACGCTTAGAAGACTTTTGTTGCTGATTTTGAAATTGGCAACGCAATAGATGCCAATTTTTTTTGTGGGATATGCTGGTAATCGTGCAGATAGATCACCTGATGGTAAGCAATCGGCGTCGCCCATGGACACCTGGAACTCTAAAGGCGTTATAAGTGCGTTACCGGCCTTTTGCGGAGTAGGAGTTTGAGGATTGTTGGGGAGATTGGGGAAGGGGTAATTAGGACTTCGGTAACTTACTTACACGACGAAATACAACGCAAGCGATGCTTCACGTCGGTTTTCTGTGAGGCCGTGGTATCACTTCGGTCGAGCCGGCCCATTCGTGCCGAAGCATGGCTCTCCCACACTTTTTTTTAACCATATCCATAAACCTAGTCAAAGAACCACTTTCTCTCTATCACATATCAAAAGAACCTAAAACAATATTACCTTTCTTTTCCAGCCTATACAAATACAGAGCTACCCGAACTACACAGAATTAACGGATAATGAAACATCAGAGAAGTCCTGTCACTATAAAAGCGTGAATTTACCGTCGGTTACAAAAACCTCCGGTTCACAAACCAGTCGGTTTAGCTGGTTGACGATAGCAACCCTTTGTACAATACTGGTTGTTGCACGGTAATAAAGGACCATGTTATTTGTTGGTGGGGACAGATTTGAGAGAACTGGGAAGCTTTATTCGTGTGCCTTTTTTATAACAACATTGAGAAAATTAAATCGATTGCAATACACACATCGATTTCTGTAGTAATATAGATTACTAGCTACTTCCGCGCGGTTTCACACGCTCCGCTCAGCTCTTTTTGGTCGCAGCGTGATGTTTTATAGCCTATAGCCATCCTCGATAAATGCACTATCCAACACAAAAATAATTATTCAAATCAGACTTGTGGTTACGGAGATTATCGCGTTCAAACAAACAAACAAACTCTTCCGCTTTATATAATAGTATAAGATTTATTGTCATTTAATATAGATTATTTATTGTCATTTAATTAAAAGTGCCTTAAAATGCTCTGTGCCTTAATATTTTTGAGACAAATATCTTTTTATGACTTCGCTATGAAATATTTCAATGTTAAGACACTAGCTAGCCATACATTTATTATTTTGACATCAACTAAAAAACACTTTCTTCATTAAAATTTCTCACAAATCTATCCCCACCCTAATCAGAGCCAATGATTCGTTGTTTTTCGTTTTTATTTTTTTTGATAATTTTTACTTTTAAAAAATGTTTTCGACCGACAAATAAAATAGTATTATTCCGCCAAATTATGTATCATAATTTGCGAATATAAAATATGTACAGTTTTGTTTTATGTATCTTTTGTAAGGGCTTTAGGGTCCTATTTCATTTGGACACTATATTCGTGCGACTGGTTAAGCAACCATCAAACTGTATACAGCTATATGGAGGGTATCTTTAATAGTGTAAATTTGGTAAGGCAACCAAATTGGGTAGCTTCCAGGGTATCAAAATTAAAAATCTAATTAGTCCGTCAGTTAGATAATGAAAAAATATTAGACACGTATTCTTTATTTTCTCGTGCTAAGATGCAATACTTAGATAAAATGGCGCTAAGTTTAGGAGTGGGAGGTCGTTACGTCATAACTAGCTACAAAATGTGGCACGCTGTGACGTCACACGATATTTCAAATTAATATATCATCGACATTATTTAATTTGGTGAGAAAAGAAAAAATACGTGTCTAATGTTTTAAATTAATCTACCAGACGGACATTAAAATAAAATTTAGGAAACTACCCTATTGTTGAGTCACCAGATCCGCAACTATTAATTTGAATCGGTTTGAAGACTAGTCCGTGTATCCCTAAGCGGTCACTGACCGCTCTCCACTAAATACATTATAGACCTTATTTCCAATGTTTAGAGACTACTTTTGTATGAACAAATTTAGGGGATGATTTTCAAAAATTTAAGTTGTGCGACTATGGTGTACTAATGAAATAAGGTTCATAATCGACGGTTATATTTTTATAACGAGGTAGTTAGGTAGCTTGAGTGAGTGGTTTATGTGATTATTGTACTTATGTGTGTCTGTATGTATGTGCAGATAGCGATAAGAAAAGCACAGTTGTGGAATTAACGTATTTTTTTGTATTGACAAAAATCTTTATATGAAATAAACTTTGTTAGCCGTAAAACTGCTGCTGAAGTAAATTAGCCTTTGCCTTTAAAAGGGAAGGGGATTCGGCATAATCCCCACATTTGGTAAACAGTTTGGGGATCTTTGGAAAAATTTTGAGACTGCTACTACAATGTGGCTAATCTTAATTTTTGAACATAGGCCTTTCTGTATTTAGACAAATTTTATAAAATTTATTTTTGTTTACAAAATAAAAATAAGTTTTTGAAAATTTCGAATTTTAGTTGTCTTTTGTCGCTATCTGTACTGTAATCGTTAATTACAATTTTCTTTTTTGTAATTTTATAAAACTTTTACAACGTAGGGAATATATCCAAGTGATTTTTGTTTATATTATGAAAAAAAAAATACAATGGTGCGCTTGTAATCAATTTTCAACTTCACCTCCATACTAATAGGGTTTAAAATAAATTGCAGCAGCTATGGTTAAGTTGAGAAATTTACTTCAGTCCTGATTGAGGGACTTTTTGTCCATATATGTACATGTATGTTTGAAAAGGAGCTTGTATTGCTCACTTATATCATTTACATAATAATTATGTATATTCCTATAGTATACAAAAAACGTAGTAATTGTAATGCGGTATAAAAATCTGTTCATAGTATTGGAAACTTTACCAAACGCTTTTACAGTTCGTTCAAACAATTTTGACTTCTATTTCCTTCGTATAGTGATGTCGTTGAAAGTAAATAGAAATATGTAATCTGTAATTTTAAAATATGCCATTGATGCATTTATTTTAAGTCTTATGACTAACGAGATAGATTTCAAAATTGGTTTGGCTGACGTAAATGGTTCTTTTTTCGTATTTTGTGGGGTCATTGAAATGGTTGTCTATTAGTGGCCAGCATTAAAATAGAACTAATGATAAAAGTCTGAAACGAGGGCCTAACTTAAATGTTCCAATTTCAAATTAATTTTTTTAATTCCTATTTTTTTAATCAATGAAAGCAATGATTAGTTTGTAATAATGATAATTGTTAATTCTTAATTCGAATGTGTCTTTGTGTTTTTGTAACTGGTAACTATTAAGTTATTTTTTTTTAATTACTTAAAGGTTTCACAATTTAGTTAAACACATTTTAGGCTGTGCTTACTTAGCTCCGTAGTGCCTTGATGTCTATAAAGTCTAGCCTTCAAAAAAATCTAGATTTTTAAAGAGAAATCTGTAGGTAAAGTCATTAGTGTGACGTAATTTTTTACAACGGCAACACCAATAAAATATCGTTCGATATTTGAATTATTATGATATTTTTGTACAATAATTTATACTTTTTTAAAAACAAAATCTTCGTAGTAAGGTTTTTGAGTCAAATAAAATGAACAATTTGTTTGCATTTTACTATTAATTATTTTTATTTATATTCACTCTTATGAGTTTTAGTTTTAAGAATACGCTTAGTAATTAAGTTTTATTTATTTAAAAAAGTCAATAAAAATGTTTTATTAAATTAAATATTCGTGTTTTTTTCTTATAATTACTAGAAATAGATAGAGAGATGTTACTCAGTAATCCATATGGTGATCACTATGACAAATCATATTATAAACCGACTTTCCAAAAAACTTTCTAAATTCGGCTTGTATGTTTATGTATATGACATTGTTCAAACGAAGCGACTACTGAGAGACATATACCTATCTCTTTCTTACACTAACTTATTTAATAGACTTCACTTCCAGTCCTCTTAGTATTAGGGTTAGTCTGAACATAATAGTCAGGATATTTAATAAAATGTGTCGTATGAGTATTGTGTGAAGTAAAATAATTCCATTTATAATTCTGAGTAGTTTCTACGGCGCCATTTTTTTTATTAACCGCCGTATTAGAACTTGAACTGGAAGTGAAATTAAATTGACTGTTTTGACCCGTGGGAGTAATTTGGACGTTAGGATTGAGTGGTCCTTGGGGTACAAATGGGTTGTTCTGATTACCAGGAGTAGAAATATTTGGCAAACTTTGACTCGATTGAGTCCATTGACCTACTCCATTCGGATTTTGACTGTAAGGGTTAATTTGATATACGGGAAGGATTTGAGGTGGCGGAACTTGATTGGGGTTATTTTGACTTTGACTTTGGGGTGTAATTTGACCGGTAGGTTTAATGCTAGTTTGGCTATTGAAATTGAATTGCGAATTAGATTGAGCTGAGAATTGACCGGAGGTAGGTGTGGATCCAAATCTATTAACAATTTGTTCTGTGGTGGGCAAAGATTGTGATGAAGGTGTTGGGAATCTATTAGAATTTAGTGGAACTGTGTCTATGAAGGGGTTAGGTCTTTGTGGATACGTCTGTGGTTTCTGTCTATGCGCTTCTAGAGCTTGCCAGTTGATGAACCAAAATGGTTGTTTGTCTATAGGTAGCTTGCTGAGCCTGTCAATCAGGTCCCTGTCTCCATTCGCCTCGATTGGCAGTCTTTGTGTTGTGCCTTCGCCGAAACTGGAAGATAAATTTTTTGTTTGTTAAATAATTATAGTGTGAGAGGAATAAAATCAAAATTAATTCCTGGACATTTTATAGTGTCTAAAAGTTACAGAATAATTACGAAGTTTGAGATAAAAAATGACGGTCTGATTTGTAAAGCATTATTATTCAAACTACCAGTTTACTGATACAATATTTATAAACTGCCTCGTTGGCAGAGTGGCCGCAAGTGCGACTGCCGGGCGTCTCAGGTTCGATTTCCGGGTCGGACAAAGTATTACTGGGTTTTAAAAAAATCTCAATAGTAACACGGATTCTGGAATAGTGCCCGGTGTATGGCAATAGTCGCAACCCCTGTTACATGGAACTCATACCCTCAATCCTTCGCCATCAAACGTCAAAGTTTGGCGAGTTTATATTTAAGGCAGTACCTATGTAAAATTGCAATGAATAAATTTGTTAAAAAAAATAACATAAATAGTAAAAACTGGGTGTTACATTGTCCAGTGTCATTAAGTGCCGTAATGTGCACGTCGGCCTGCCTCATCGGGGATATAAAGGCGTGATCTTTGTTATATAATATAAAATTTATATGAAACAAAGTTTATTAAATATTTCACAGTATCAAACGTTAGCTACAACATTTCTTAGCCTTTTTCCTTAAGAAAAGTAAATCATAAACATCCTCTTTGAATATTATCTCTAGTCTTTATTAAAACTTGTATTTAGGAGGAACTTATTGACTTTTAACGAATGGAATTTCGATTTTTTACAACAAAATACATGTTTACTACACGAGACCTGTTTCAAACAGGGAAATCGTTATATAAAATATAAAAAAGCTACCGAGTTCGAGTTGGAATTAGTGGGGCTAGTTATTTGGAGAACTTATACTTATTTTCTATATTATAACTTATTTTTATTTTCGTTGCCGTTGCCTGCCGTTG